GCTCTATAAGCATAACAGTCATCAGCAACAATATGACTGTTCAACAATGCCAAGCAAAATCGCCTATACGCCATACCTTTCCTTTGCTCGGAGATGTTTCTAAGCTGCTCAGATTTCCGCCCCAGCTGCTTGGAAACACTCGTCAGCTGCTTGGAGACAGTGGCTAGCTACTCGGACCTGCCCCGCAACTGCTCGGACATAGTCACCACCTGCTCGAATAGAGCCTCCTTCTGGTATTCCAGATCCCACACTTGAGACTCGGCAAGATCCCGCTCGCGCTGGGCCCTCTGGACGTTTTTCTCCATAAGCTTTATCGCCTCCTTCAGCTTTGCGTTTTCTTCGGCAAGGGGCTCCATCCTCTTGATCAGCTGACGCCGTTGTTCGGTAGTCCGAGCTATCCCCTGCAAAAGCACCAAGACCATGAAGAACTCCAATCTCCACCGTCAAAGATGAACATTGATGATGCGATGCCAACCTTGATCTGCTTCATCGCCGTCGAAAGGGTGGACTCAGCCTTTTGAGCTCCCTGGTGGTGTCCTCCTCCTCAACGACCACCACTTTGTCGCCCCGCTTGCGGAGGATTCGGACAGCTTGGGGTCGTGATTCCTCACGTTCGATCTCTTCCACCTCGTCCTCCTCCTCCGCAGCTGGCGGCACCACAGGGGGCTCGATGGCCGCATAGCGTGTCCGACCACACCTTTCGACGACTCAGGGAGCGCCGTCGGCTCCTCCGGCACTGCAGGTTTCTCCATTCCAGACTCCAGCGTGGCGTCGACAACTCTAGCATCCGCCTCTAAAGCCCCAGTAGCTTCTGTCGTTGCCCCGAGCATCGCCGCCGACCCGTCCGCCGTCGGCGCCAACCGTTCGCCACTGCCAAGTCCTCCAGCAGTGGCGGTTGACTCCTCCACAGACCGCCGAGCGCTCAGGGACTTTGGGACGGGATCTACCGGCATCGCCTCCACGCCGGGACCAGCCCCCGGTTGCTCATCGGTCTGGACGGACGAATTCAACTCCTCCGTACGCCTTGCTCTGCATCGGATACTTACGTGTCGGTCTGTCGGTACACTTTTTTGCACTGGCGCTGCCTACCTGAGCCCCCAGGCACGGCCCTAGGGTCGACTCCCGTGCCCTGGGGTGGAGGTCTCGCGATCTCCACCATCGGCCTCTCCTCCACCTGCCGCTCCGGGACTCCCCTCGCCTGCTGCTCGGGGACTCCCTTCGCCTACTTCTCGGGGACTCCCTCCCCTCCCTTCGATCGCTCCTCCGCGCGCGTGTTGCATGGAGGCACTTCAGTGCTCGGAGGAGGAGCTACTGGAGCCCCATCGTCATCCGACCACTCGGACATCGCCACACTTTGCGTCCGAGTGGTCTGGTCACCGCCAAGCGAGATGTCGCCCGGCTTGCAGGGAGTTGCACCCGTCGTGTTCCTCTTCTTTCGGGCTGGCTCATCTGTTGCTGCCCTCTTTCCCCGGACTTTCTCCGACACCGGCGAAGGACTCTCCGTCCGACCAGCGTCCGCGCCTCCGAACTCTGACGAGGCGCTGACGGCACCTTCCTCAGGCTGAGTCGGTGGCCGGGCGTCCACTGCCTGCGGCCAATCGCCCCTCGGCATGCCCGAGAAGTACACCGCCTGTTCCTACAAATGGATCTTTCCATAAGTGAATTAGTTCACTGCTCGGCAATGGTACAGGATAAAAAAGGATCAGGAACAAACAATTGAGATGTTTACCTGAGGAGGCGGGTTCGTGTAGTTAAAGGGTCTCGTCTGCCCTGACACGCTGAACGAGGCAAATGGAGTGAATAGCTCTGCGGCCCGCTCTAGCACATCGTCCCTCGACAACATCTCTGTCCTCTCCCGGGTGCCGTCAGTGTCCCCCTTGAAGTCAAAGCCCGCGTGGGCCCTCTCCTTGTAGGGCTGGACGTGGCGGACTATGAAGCTCGCCGCCACCAATCTGTCGTTCATCTTTATGTCCTTTATCAGGCTGAGGAGCTCCCTCACCTGATCCATATCAGCACTGCTTGGCCTCTCCGACTAGCTTTTCTAGCTCTCCGGGATGTGGTCGGCGTGGCAGCGGATGGTAGGATGGCTCTGCTTCATGTAGAACCACCTGGCGTTCCACCCCTTCAGCGACGTGTTCAGCGGCACAGTGAGGTACTCACCCGCCATTCCATCGCGTAGTTGAAGATACACGCCACCAACCACCTTGGAACCACCACCGCCTTCTTCTTTAGCCAGAACAGGTGACATAAGAGGTTGAAGTGGGAAAGAATCACAAGATACGCCTCACAAAAATAAATGAAAATCGAGATGTGCAAGATGATGTTTGGGTGGAGGTTGCACAAACTGACTCTCCAGAACTCCAATAGATCCCTCAAGAAAGGATGAACAGGAAATCCTAACCCGCACCAGAAGTAATCCTCAAATACTACAGCTTCGTCAGTATGAGGCATTGGGTAGGGCTCACCACCGCTGGCCGGTCGCCATCCGACGGTGACGCAGTCGGGAAGAACGCCCGCCTCCACCATCCTGTTGAGCTCCGCCTCCCCTGTGCGCGACAGCACCCACTCATCGTCACAGCTAACTCCGGCGCTCGCCTTCTTTGGGTTACCAGCTCCCTTCTTCGGCGCCATCTCTCAGATCTGGTTTGGGAGTGGTGGCGGAAACGCGTGTGAATACGAATCTAGAAGCACAAGGGTTGAGAAGGAAGATGAAGTGGCAAAGTGGCAAAGGTGGGAGCGCGGGGTGCGGTGGCGCAGTTATAAAGCACTCCCCCCACCTTTTGCATTCGAGGGTTTTTGGGAAACCGCTCCACGATTTGCGCCTCTCCGCATTCTCCGAAACAGCGTGGTGGGCCATTACCTGGGCTTTCACGCAACTGTAGCCCATATTGCCCATTTATCGCCACAAGTTGTTACTTGCTCATCGAATATTCGCCGACTTCTCCACCATCTGTTACGGCTCAGTAATTACTACTATACAGTCATTACTCCAGTTTTTTCTCTGCGATTTGTTTTCTCCAAGTTTTCCACTTGTGGCTCAGGGGCTGCGTCATCAATACGACTTGGTTCCTCACCGCACTGGGGACTTTCTTCTGTTGACTGTTTCGGACCCTGGCACCACGTGACCATGTCACCTACTGTCAGGCTTGGGGACTAAGTGGGCACACTTCACCTTACGGTGAATGTGCTTTTCTTATTTCAGGGTTACACCCGGGGACTGGCTGCCTGCTTGGCTGGTCTTGTGCTTTTCTTTACTTTGGACCCTGGCACCACGTGACTACGTCACCTACTATCAGACTCGGGGACTAAGTGGGCACACTTCACCTCGCGGTGAGTGTGTTTTTGGAAGACTCCGCATCACCCGAAGCTGAAGCAGACTATCTTCCTTTCTCGTTGTCGGACTCTAAGTGGGCACACTTGGTCCACCGCGAGGAAATTTTCGATTTCAAACTTGAGCTCCTTACATCATTATGGCAAGCCTAACTTAGGATACGCTGCTCGGCGACGGTTCACGCTGCTCGACGACGGTTCACAATTGCTCGGCAACTCATCACGGTGGTCGGACCATGAGTTTGACTGCTCGGCTTTGTTCGCACCTGCTCGGACAAGCTCAAGACGACGTTGCACAACGGATACAAGACACTCGGGGACTAGCTGTGGGGGGTACGACCCCGGATACCCACAGCAGACCACATGGGCTGCGCCCCCAGGGGCGGCCCAGCCCACAAGACGAAGCCTTGCGAGGCACGGCGCTGCTCGGCACATCCTGCAAGACACCGGGAAGATATCATGAAGATACTACAAGATCTGTTAGGATATGTATAATCCCATGATTCATGTAATCTGTTATTCCTTTCCGGTTATCTCCTAGATCTAACCGACTTGTAACCCTACCCCTGGACTATATAAGGCGGGCAGAGACCCCCTCCAAACACACGCAATATCATACGATAGCTAATACAATACAACAGACCACAGGAGTAGGGTATTACGTCATACTAACGGCCTAAACCTGTCTAACTCGTGTCTCTGTTGCCTTCTTGTTCTCGATTACACGCATCTCTACTGATCAATCTACCTTCGTAGGATACCTCTCGGAGGACTGCCGACGATACTCTGTCGACAAGCACCCAATCCTCCTCTTCAATAGATTCAAAGACACTTGCTCGCAGCTGGGACTAGTCATGCAGCCAGAAACATCGTGACGAAGCTAGTCAAAGTATGTGGATTTGATGGACACAAAGCAAGGGATATTACACATCTGCCTTCTGCATTGTGAGCCTGTTTCAGTTCAACAAAGAGCATGGGTTTGGATTATCTACCATCATAAGCCTGTTTCAGTTCAATAAAGAGCACGGGTTTGGATTATCCACCATCATGCAGCACTTTGCAGTTCAAATCTGACTATCACATCGAAAAGATAAAAACATGCAGTTTAAAATATTACAACACATTTGATAATAAACCATGCCAACTGTGGTTCTAGAGCTGCTGAGATAAGAAAAATAGCAGAAAAGCATAAAGTACAAATTGAACATAATAGATCTCAGGTAAAACAGGTTCAAGATTCCCTAGTTCAACACCATCTGTTTCCTGGATGATGTACAAGAAACTTGCATGTTTTGCAACATAATATCATATTGAGTGAAACGTTTGAGTAAGAGGGACATGTGAAAGTACATGTAATTTAGCTCTCGAATTCTAAAATTCTAGTGAAGAAGTTTCAAGAAATCACACATGAACTGCTCGACCAACCATTTTTCTCTCTTATCAAGCTCTCAAGTGTCATCCAAATTCCAAACACACAAAGAAATACATGTATATGCAGTGGCCTAGTAACCAAACTCCAAATGTATAGAACTTCAGCACCAATCCAGCCAAAACACCTGTAATGTAGTTCTCAAATCCTGAACTGAATTCCAGTGAGCAAAGACCTTGATTAAGATCAAGAAGAGGCACCAGATTTGAGAAATCTCTACCAGCAACTAATCTACTGCCTATCATTGTAATGACCCTGGGTCAGTGTCGCCCTTGGATGTGGAATTGGCCTTGGCCTTCTCCTGGATGAGAGTGTTGATTAGCTGCAGCAAGTCTGCCCTCATGGCCTTGACGCTGTGGGCGTCCACCTCCCTCCTCACCGCCTGGAACCAATCGCCTTCCCGGTGATCGTGGCCATTGTTCCACCAGGCGCACAGAGCCCTGGCGATGGCCATGACATAGACACCGCAGTCATAGCCATTGGTCTGCCTCGGGGTGGGCCCCTCGATGAGCGGAACAGTGTCCCTCTTGGAATCGCTGCCTGACAGCAGGGGGCGGAGTGCGTCGGCGAGGCGGGCAGCGACGGGGAGGTTGGGCGCGCCAGGGAGGCTGTCGTGGTGGACAAAGCGGGGCGCGGAGGGGCTAGTGGCATTGTTAAGGATGAGGAGGGTCCAGTGGGAACCGCCGTCAGCGATGGAGGCATCAGGGTTGTCGTTGACAGGGAGCAGCACGAGGCGGCGGGAAGCGAGACGGAGCGGGTCAGCGACGGCGGCGACAGCGGCCGAGTCAGGGAGGTTGGAGAGGAGGTAGGGGATGGAGGGCGGGAGCAAGAGGAGGTCGTCGTCTTCCTGGAGGCTGGCAGAGAGGTGTGCGAAGTAGAAGGCGATGATGCGGTCGTTGATGAAGCACGGCCCACGAAGGATTGCAAGGTCAGAGCGGATGAGCACCACATCACCGTGGCTCAGCACCCGCTCCTCTCCCTCCTTGGAGTTGGAACCAGAGCCCATCGCCGTCGCCGCCACCGCCACTTGCTGGCTGCTTGTGCTGGACGCGCGGACCGCAGTAGCCTGTGCATTTGCAAATTAGTTCTTGAGAAAATATACAAATCGCTCCAAGGGCCAAGAGTCTTGTAAATAAATAATTTCTGAATAGCTGTAGGGCTGAAAATGGAACGGACTTCCATCAACAGCGCGGTGCACGTAGTCATGCACCGTTTGGAGTGTTATTAGTGGGTACTAGTCGGTGAGACACACGGCACAGCACCTATTGACTCATCAATACAGTGATGAGGAACGCAGCTTTGTGCTAATTTGCGTTGTCATCAGCATTATGCCATGTGTTACTAAAAATTGCCAATACGGATTTAATGTAACTGTACAGCTCTGGTGTCACAGCTATATATGCCTACCAATTCCCTCAATAATAATTCAAACGAGGACTATGTTTCATTACCAAAGTTCCACCTCATACATGGTTACCCTTTTCTGCATAAATTTGTTTTAATAATAGAATCATAGCATAGCTTGATCCTAGTAGACTTATATATGTCAACCTTACCCATATTATCACAAGCCTTCTGATTAATTGCTTACATATGTTGGCCCGCTTGAAGCCAATCCAAAATTTCCATGGGGCGTAGCTTAGTTGGACATTAAGGAACATAGCTAACCTCTATTATATACCAATATATATGGTAGATACAAGTCTATTGTAGGGGAGATTTCTGTTTTTGTGGTGTGCTGGCACCTGGAAATCTAACGTATGGTGTACACAAAGATGACTATTACTTTGGAAATCAGCAGAAAAATGGTGATCTAGTGGAAACATATATGAGTTGGAAATTGAAATCTATATCTATATAACCTATATAGATGGAACCCACTAAGGGTCATTTACTTCTATTTCTCTGCAACCACGTTGATCCACGTCATCTCTTTTATTTTTCACCATTGGATCATGAGCTTGAAGGGCGGGCCTGGTGCAAGCGGTAGAGTCTTACCGCCTGTGACCGGAAGGTCCCGGGTTCAAGTCGCAGTCTCCTCGCATTGCACAGGCGAGGGTAAGGCTTGCCACTAACACCCTTCCCCAAACCCCGCACAGAGAGGGAGCTCTCTACACTAGGTACGCCCTTTATTGGATCATGAGCTTCCAACATATCTGTCCATCCAAATGGTAGGCAGACAACCATCACCCAATACAGGAGATGGTTCACTTCTGCTGGCCATTACTATACTTAATTTCTCTCATTAACCTTTTGTGCGTGCCATATGACTCTTTGTTTCATCTCCCAACAGGCAGTGCATGCTGCCCATAATTTTAATAACAGATCAGGCCATAAGACCTGAGATGTAAAATGTGCATGCGTTCCTTCCTCCAACAGGTAGTGCCACTCTACTCGCCTCACACAGAATTGAGAATAGTTCCCACTCTGACCCATCAATGTCTCGCTTTTGTGCTTAACTACCGTTACCATTTATCCACTTGCTCACCTGTTCTTTCAATAACTCATTCAATTAATCATGCAAGATAATCAGCAGCCAACGCAAGCATGGGCTCCTCCAAAACTGTAACTGGCGGAACGTGGAGGATGGCATTGAGTAGCCAAAACGGTGGGAGAAGCGGCTGGTCATATAAATTGTGCAGCTTCAACAACACTAGCTCACGTACGCTCTTTCCTTTCCCACCACTGGAAGCATGCTGATACTGCAGGCGGTGATTCTCTAAAAGCAAACACCGTGCTCCTGTATGCACTAGACACTGATGCCCACATCTACTAGGCAAGTTCTTTGTCACTCTCCCCTCATCTATAAATGGTTCCCTTAAATGGTGTGCAGGATTTCAATCAGAGTTTCTTCATCTTGCTAAAATCAGCTTCCAGTAATGAAGTAAACCAATCATAGTGGGTTTATCTTTGAAGTAGAAATGATGCAAAAACTTATCTATTTGGCATATATTAATCAGTCAACGAAGAAGATGCATCAACGATTTCTGCAACTGGCCTGATATAGTTCTGAGTGCATGTAATGGGTAATTATCTTAGATGTAGTGCCTAATATAGTTTGAGTGTCTGTAATAGCTAATTATATTTCGATGTCACTTCAGCCAATGTATATTTGAAACATTAGCGATTTGCATGGCTACCCACTATTTCTAACTATAAAAACACAACGCTTCAACATCACAAAACCTAAATGATCGTACGGTGCTATATATTTGCTTTTTTCCAATGTAATATAAAATTTCTCTGCATATTCCGCAGCAACACGCGGAGAATTGACCTAGTATTAGAGTATTATTAGAGACTAATACTACTACTACAATTGGAACTGAAAACTGAAGTATGCGAGTAGCAGAGACTAGATAGAAAGACCTCGAATTGGAGCTGGAGCAGCCTAGCAGATCGAATCTCCTGGATCCTAGCACTGAGACCGGACCGGCGGAAGCCCGGAACCCGGACGGCGCAAGGCAGACGGGCCCGAGGCAGTTCGTTCCTCACGCCAAAGCCCAACCGCGTGAGCGGTGGTGCCGCCGGCCTTGCCCCTTGCCCGGCCGGCTCTCAATCCGCCCGAGGCCCCGCGAGCGCTTGATCTGGCGATCTCAACCAGGGCGGACGGATCCGAGCGATGCGGCACTCCGGAGGCCAGCGCCTGGACGAACTGAGTCAACGAGCGCAAGGCTCGTTCATTAGTTCCGTGCAGGCTGGTGTCGTCGGTGTGTTCTAGTTGGGTACTTGTGCCTTGATGTTCCTGGGCCAGATTACTAAAGTTCAAGGCTGAATAATCATATATATAGGGTATTTCGCTGTTCAATTTTTTCCTCACCACAATTAGGCAAGTGGCACGAGCTCATGCCCTCGCTTCCTCGCTTAGGTCTCGCCACAAACTCGTCCTCCTCGCAACCTCGCTCCATCTCTTGGCATCTGACCACACTTTTGAAGAAGAAAATTGAAGTCTGCGACTCCAAGTGTCCTTGTTTAAAATATATTTACATTCGACCGATGCCCGACGGTGCGGGATGGACAAGAATCTATACCCAGAATAAATTAACGTTAGCGATCGGTATATCCCCATTGCCATCCTTACAGCCCTAGTGTTCTAGTTCCACGGCCTTGACTCCAGAACACACTTGGGTTCCTCGGACCACAATTAGGCCGTGGTAGGGCACACACCATCACCACCGTTTTAACGAAAAAATCATACTCCAATAACATCATCTTTTTTTACGCGGATGACAAAGCCACCCACGAAAATCAACTCCAATCATCGCGGATCAAAGTCAAAACATTGTTGTTATATTTGAGTTCTTGGTTATGTTGTTTAGCCCCTGAAATAGTCTTCAAAAATCTAGAAAAAAAATCTCAATCCATGGTTTAGAAAGTATTATTTTTTCATGTAATTTACAAACATATGTACTCAAGTGAAATCCAAGGTTTCTTAACAAAACAACACATGCTCAAGACAAAGTCTTAATTTAAAGTTAAATTTTTAAAAAATTAAAAGAAGCTCAGTATTTATACGACAAGTGAAACCATCGGTGGCTTTGGTCTCTATATGGCAAGGTCATCCTTTAGACGTTCTGAATGCTTTTAAATTTGATTTCGAACTAAAACTTAATTTTGAGCATAGATTTGGATTTCACTGGAGCACATATATTGAGAAATTACAAAAAAATACCTTTTGCCATGAATTTATATGTTTTTTCTCGGATTTTTGAGACTATTGAGGCTAGACAATTTACTGAAAATTCAAATAAAGCATTACGGGAAGATTTTTAATTGCAAAACTACAAAATCTATTATGCCAAATTAAAGAAAAATGTCTAGTGCTTGACTTTTTTATGTACTCGAAAAGTTACAGATTTTTTAGAGGTCTTTAGGTCCTTCATTTGATTGCCATGAGTAAGTGCATAATCAATCAAGATAACGCAGCAGTTTGCTGAATTAGCTTCAAATGTCTCGTTATGATCAATCATATATTTACATTGTATGATACATATGATTGCCATTCACAGAGAACAAAAGGTATAATAATATGTTTACAGTTCCCATAACACAGTAATGAAGAAGTAGAGATTGGGACAAGGATATAAATACCTACAAAGTGGACGTTACCTTCTGCTTCAGAGCATAACGTTCCTCTCCAGCCTAACAAGCGAGCCCACTGCTCATCAACTAGGTAGAATTTTCAGGACAAAAATATGTTGAAATAACAAAGGAAATCTCTCACCATGCAGATCCTTGAACTCGGAATCTTGGTGCATTCAGTGATAATTGGGGTGTCCTTAGGTGCATCTGTAAGGTCATCCACCATTAGGCCTCTTGTTGGTGCCCTTAGCTTCCATCAATTCTTTGAAGGCATTGGTTTGGGTAGTTCCATTGTGCAGGTATATGATTGGAGCCTTGGACCATAACCTACAATACCTGAATGGCTGAATTATCACAATCTTATTGAAAAAACTAAGCATTCTCTATGCTTCTGCTTGACTAAAATAATGAGAAGCTACAGCTTTTATGGAAAAGACATTCTTATAACTCAGCATGTCAGAAAATTTATACCAAGTACCCTTTTGGCAGAATGGGAGGATAAACAAGAGGGAAGGAAAAAAAGAGATGTACAAAGTTGAAATGGGACACTCTTGGACAGCAACATGACACACTACAAGTACAAACTATTGCAAATCAATTTTTATAGTAATAATAAAAAGCACATAATGTATCCCAACACTGATTAACAACCAATTATTGAAGACACATGTTAGTGTGTTACGGAAACGAAATCAAATAAATCTCAAACTTTTTTGAGCGAGAAAAAAAAAACTTTTACCAATTACTCCATGCAAGAAGCAAACCCTAGTAACGAAATGTTAGCATTTATTCAATAAAGAAAATAAATGGACACGAAGAAGAAAGAATTAATTGTGCTTCATATCATATTGTGCTTCATATCAACAAAAAAGCTAACATCCTCTGGCTCCCATTCCTCCCTGCAGGCAAATTTCAAGTTGAGGGCTACCGTCATGATGGCAAGTTTTTTCTCCCTGACTGCACCCATTGGTATTGCATTAGGGATTGCAATTTCATCTAGCTACAATGGCCATAGCACTACAGTTTCATCGTTGAAGGAGTGTTCAACTCAGCCTCGGCAAGAATTTTGATCTACATGTCATTAGTCTTTTTTTTCTCGAATACGTAAAAGATTTGGGTATCATTGTAATTAAGAAGAAGAGTTTAATTATACAAACGACGCGCTTCAGACGAGCGCCCTCAGAGGTCTTACAGCCATAGGCCGAACTGTCCTAGCAAACAACTCCAAGCTTCGATATATGGGATCTTCTGGCCACAGATTTCAATAACCCCAAACTACAGAGGAATACAAAGCTTCAGCTGATGACATATCTTGCACTTTTCTTAGGTGCAGGGATGATATCCATGCTTTGCTATATGGGATCTTCGGACCATCAGAGGATGGCTAGAGTTGAAGACATAATTTTATTTGTCCAAGAGTTCTCCATTTTCTCAAATAAGATGTGCTTGGTGAAGGGCTCATCATATTAATCCACAAGTTCTGCATTCCCCATACAATATAGCCTTAGATGGTCGTTTTGTACTTCAGGATGTGAGACTACATGATTCGTCATTCGTTAGCATAGTCCTATACCCTAAACCTATGTTAGTCATTAACTGTGGTCCTGTCCTGAACTTTCAGTCGTAAAGACAGACTTGAGCCCATTCAATCATACAATCAACCAATCTGTATCTTTAGCTTATCTAAATAACCAGAAGAAATATATGACCAGAGAGATACAAACTACAAAGGTCATGGATATATGCAGGAAAATCAACAGTAGTACACTCTTGTGAGAAAGACACGTTTCAAAAATACTGACTGAAATGCTACTAGAAGTAATCCACCTTTGTCCTATGTTGAGAGAAATCCTCATAGAAGATTGACATCCTTTAGAAAGAATGCCAAATTAACCAAAAAATAGGCTTTAAGAGTTTATATGTCCTTCGTAAATTTTAGGGATGTATACATATACTTAGTTGTGATAAGCTTCTTGGACAGGAGGTTCTTTGCTTATGTGCATCTTCTGAAGTCTTCAGTCTTTCCCTTGCTCTCCTGTATATGTGCCCATTTAGGCTATTGAACAGAATAATGCAGCATTTTCAACAAAATCACATCTATCCTATAATAAAGTTTACATGTTGCATAAAGGTTGCTATAGGTCAAAAAAAAATGCAGCAGCAATTGACGATCATACCAACTTCCACATGTAATTGGTTGCATTGAATTAACAAGTTGGACCAGAGCTAACAAAGGAGAAAAATTTGTTAGCTCTGTGCCATCGAGTACCTGAAGAAGAGCTATCAGACAAGGACGTGTCCGGCGCGAAGATGCTGCTCAAGAAACTAGACCGTGACAGGCTGCTGTGCAACCTGTTCAGCAGGAAGTAGTATGATGATCTCCAGCTGAAGCGGCTAGCGGTACTGAAAGTGATGGTCCTTTTTGCGGCAGAGCGGTGGACACAGAGTGCTTGGTGTTGTAATTTTGCTGGCTAATGTGTGTGTGTGTCAAGCAGTTCGTTCGTTAGCTTCCTAACCATGGTTGAATACCCAGCAGTCCTGTCTTAATGCTAATAAAATCTCTTCAGGCAAAGATGATTTGCACACTTGTGTTGTGATTGTTTATCATCTGTGACTCTGTACTTTCACTCAGCAATTCTTCCAATCTTTCAAATAATTGGTTGACACAATGAAAGCTATATTCAGTGTCAACCTTGTTAGCTCTGAGTTCAAACAGCTGTGCTGTCAAATTAATCTTGCACGGTCGAACCTTTGCTTTGTGGATTAAAAAAATCCAACATGTCCTTGAGGCTTAGAATCTGTTTTTTAAGTGCTGATTGTGTTATCATTGCCAACTAACATCAGTTTGTGTGGATGTGCAGTCGGTCAGTTAGCCATGATGGTTGAGCTGGTAATCCAATCCCCGTGATTCGGCGTCACGCCTTTGGTTGCAAATGATCGAGTTATGCAGGAACAAGACCACAAGACCAATCTGGTGGATCAGAGAAAAGTGAATGGCCAGCTGACCGTGACAAATGCAGTGGTGGAGTTGAACTTGAGTATGATGCTACTGCTGAAGGAGGTGAGATCAGAAGTAGGTTTTGGTTTTGTCATGTCCTGGTTTATGTATTTTATTGAACGTGTCAAATAAATCTTGGTGGCAATAGCATGCATCAAAACTATAAATTCATTGTACTATTTGAGATTCGATGTTCATAATTGTGCACATCAAAACATGAATTATATTCTAATAATTGTTCATGATTGGTAAAAAGTCTTGTAATATTCATGATTTGATTGGCTACAAACAAAATATCGTGAAAATCATGCTTGAAGTATTGTATTTTTTAATAGTACAACACATGTCTAAACTTAAATTATAACATTATTTTTTTCCCGTTCCAACGCATGGGCATGATCCTAGTAGGTACAAAAGGTTCAACTCCATATTGCTTCACATAACCATAACTGTCAAGATTTACAGCAAAATCATGAAATTTATAAAAGGTTCGGTCTTGATGGTGTAGCATAACTATTCCTCCTAAATAACAAACACTAAACATACACAAGACCCAAGCCAACATGCTACAGCTTATTCAACCTTTCCCTTCCCGTTGGAATCATCACTCACTTGAGAGGATGTTGGCTGGTTGATACTCGCTTTGGTGTTCGCCAGGAAGGTGGGATCTGGCTGTGGCTCCTGGTGTGGAGTCTCCTTCATCGCCATGAATATGTAAAAGCCGATCACCAGATTAACTGATATGACAGCCAGGAACCCGCTGGCAAGTGTCTGCGCTGAGGATGACATCTGACTCACACCTGAAAATTAAGAAGAAAAAAATTATCATTACCAAATAAAATTTATGTACTCCGTAGATGGAGTATACCATGCAGTGATGAGAACAGGAACAACAGCCGAACCTGGAAACACCTGGTAGTAGAACCCATACATGATCGCAACTGGGGCCATCCACATCACCATGGATGTAACCGCAAACTTTGTGATCACTCCTGACATCGCTTCTCCTGATGGGGATGCTGAAACCAACGTACAGATATCTGCAGTTCAGCTAGAGCGCAGAGAGAGAGAGAGAGAGAGAGAGAGAGAGAGTAAACGACTTTTAGCACGCACAAAGCAAGCAACTCAGTAAAGTGTATGGATGGATTGGAGCGTACATCTCAGCCAAAAAGATTTGGACTAGATCATTCATAGCAAAGAAGGGATCTCACGAACAGTCTAGAGGATTTCCTAACAACACTACGAGCATAAAATTCTATGGCAATCAATCCATTTACTAAAACCAATTAAACCTGAAGGATGCCCAATGTTTTTGTTTCGGGACAAGATCATTACATACCATAGTCTAGTTTCTATTCATAGTGGCACTTAATCAAGATCCTTTACAAATTATATGGTTTTTCCTATACCCTTAATTCTCTTACTTAGCACCACCTTAACAGAATTTTATGTCAAGTGCCAACTTAGACCTACTTCCATGCATCATTCAGAAAATGCTGTAAATAACAGCTCCATAGGCATTTGCGTTTGATAGTACAGCTGCAAATGCCACATAGTCACAACGGCCAACAAAATTATAAACAATGAACATAAAGCCGTACCAGTTTACAAACAATAAACATAATGCTCCATGGATTCAAAAGAATCTTAATGACTAAGTCATATAAATTTGTTATTCTAAATAGCTAAGAAAAGTAGGTTTCTTCTCAAAAGGAGTTGTTCGATGAAACTCATAAAGACCGCAAATAAACTAAATCAAGGAATGGAACTAAACAATATATAAATATTTTACATACATGGTACACCCATGAGGCCATGACCATATGCATGACACAAAACATCTAGGTGGCTCACTCCAATACAACTCTAAATATTATTACTGTACCAGAAAAAAAAAGCATGGGAATAGTAGGAAAAAATTGCAAAGAGAAGTCAGATTGACAGAGTATATTTAGATTCATACTTGCAAAGTTGAAATAAAAAAAGAGAGCTAACACTTGGTCACACTATCCCTTGATGTTTCCCTGCTGCAAGGATATATGAAAAAAGAGAAGCTAAGTTGAGAGCTCGAGAATTCAATTCTTCAAAGCTGGACAAATCTGCAAATATGGTCATTGTTTGGTCCACTTCAAAGAATAGGAAAGATTCAGCACAAGCTCAAGCTGCCCCATCGCTTATAACCGCCCCATCACTTACAAGCTTATGCTTAAATACCTTTTCCAAACATTCTGAATGTATTGAGTAACTTGAAGGTGGCATAGTTTGTTCCCTTACTTTAGCTTGTAAACCAAGGTGAGAAAACCTTTGAAAAATGCAGCACTGAAAGCTTGCGGTTATTTTATACCTTTCGATAACACCTTATTTCTTTTGGGCAAATTAACTTCTGAGAATTCATTCAACGCTTATTTTAATGTAGGATCTACATCTTGATATATCTGGGAGATGCATGCCTGACTACATATTGCCAACTACCTTACCTAAGGTTCCTAACTACATGCCATTGTTGAGAAAAATATAAAGGGAGATTATCGTCTTCCTGATAAGGGTTTAGACATTGTCATCTTTGTTGCACCTTCTTTGCACTCCCTAAACCTGTGCGAGTGTTGTCACACCCCAAAATTTCCGATTTTGGGTTGTGCATAAAAAACACTAAATAAAAAGAATTATTTTAATATTTGGATAAAATTTACCAAGTTTAGTTTGAGCTAGCACAAATTTAGTTAAAGGAAAAACTCCACCTATGTTGTCTCAACATAGCAGGTCCCAAGCCCTGGTAAAGGATGAGGGTTGTGATAGGCGTGGCGAACCAACGTTAAATCTAGCCATTCTAATGGAGATGAAACCCGAAAGAAAACCGTTGAGGCGTAACCCTCTTAGCGACGCGCCATATCGGAACCCGGGTATGGTGTTAAATGAGCAAGGGCCGGGTCGTCACCCCCGTGACGCGCCGTGTCGCGATCTGGGCATGGTGTCAAGTGAGCAAGGATCGGGTCGTCGCATCCTTAGTGGCGCGCTACATCGGTGTCCGGGTGTAGTGAAAAATGAGCAAGCGTCTTCACATCTGAGTTGGCGGTGCAAATGGTAAGGAAGCTAGTCGAACCAACTAGGATCCGTTTAGATAGTTGGAATGTAGGATCGCTTACAGGTAAGTTAAGAGAATTAGTTGATACCGCGACTAGGAGGCGTGTAAATATATTATGTGTTCAAGAGACTAAATGGAAGGGTCAGAAGGTGAATGAGGTGGACAATATAGGTTTCAAGCTTTGGTACACAGGGACAGTCGCGAATAAAAATAGAGTAGGAGTTTTGATTGATAAGAGCCTCAAGAATAGTGTGGTGGGAGTGAGAATGCAAGGAGATAGGATTATCTTAGTCAAGCTTGTCATTGGTGATATGGTCTTGAACGTAATTAGTGCGTATGCCCTCCAAGTAGGCCTCGACGAGAGTGCTAAGAGACAGTTCTGGGAAGACTTAGATGGCCTGATTAGAGTTGTACCTAGTAGTGAGAAGTTTTTTATAGGAGGAGATCTTAATGGCATATAGGTACTACAAGCGCAGGTTTCGAGGCAGTTCATGGAGGTTTTGGGTATGGTAGTAGAAATCAGGAGAGGAAGGGGGAGGAAGTTCTGGACTTCGCGGTAGCTTTTGACCTAATGATAGCCAACACTTTCTTTAAAAAGAAAGAATCTCATCTAGTGACCTTCAATAGCGTACAACACTCTAGCTAGATTGACTTTGTCCTCGCAAGAAGAAAGGACAAATGAGCATGCTTGGGTTGCAAGGTGATACCAGGGGAGTGTGTTGTTTCTCAACATAAGCTTTTGGTGGCAGACTTTCGTTTTCAGGTGCGTGCCCGTAGGGATAAACAAGCTAAGATTGAAAGAACAAAGTGGTGGAAACTGAAAGGGGAGACGTCAGAGATATTCAAGGAAAGAATTATCAAAGAGGGCTCTTGGAAGGAAGAAGAGGACATAAACAACATGTGAAAGAAGATGGCAACCAACATTCGGAAGGTTGCCTCAGAGGTGTGTGGAATAACCAAAGGAAGTAGAGGCGAGGCTAAAGATACTTAGTGGTGGAACAAGGAAGTCCAAAGGGCTATTAAGGAGAAGAAAGATTGTTATAGATGCTTGTACCATGACAGGAGTGTGGACAACATAGAGAAGTACAAGGTGGCAAAGAAGACTACAAAGCGAGCTGTAAGTATGGCAAAGGGTAGAGCGTACGAGGATCTTTATCAACATTTAAGTACGAAGGAAGGAGAGAAGGATATTTATAGGATGACTAGGGTTCGTGAGAGAAAGACAAGGGACTTCAACCAAGTTAAGTGCATTAATGATGAAAGGGAGCATCTCTTGGTGAAGGAGGGTGAGATCCGACATCGATGGCAAGAGTATTTTGACAAATTGTTCAATTGTGAGAATATAGACACAACCTTTCAGTTGGATGACTCTTTTGATGACACCAATAGACGCTTTGTGCGGAGAATCCAAGAATCTAAGGTCAGAGAGGCGTTGAAAAGGATGAAAGGAGGTAAGGCGATGGGACCGGATGGTATCCCAATCGAGGTGTGGAAATGTCTTGGGTACATAGCTATAGTATGGCTAACCTAGCTATTTAACCATATTTTTCGATCGAACAAGATGCCTGACGAGTGGAGGAGAAGTATATTGGTACCGATCTACAAGAATAAAGTGGATATTCAAAGTTGTATTAATTACCGGGGAATTAAGTTGATGAGCCATACTATGAAGCTATGGGAGAGAGTTATCGAGCATCGCTTGAGAGCAATAACGCAGGTCTCTATGAACCAATTTAGTTTCATGCCCGGAAGGTATGGAAGCCATTTTCTTAATAAGACAAGTTATGGAGCGGTATAGGGAGAAGAAAAAGGACTTACACATGGTTTTTATTAACTTGGAGAAGGCTTATGATAAAATACCAAAGAATGTTATGTGGTGGGTTTTGGACAAACATAAAGTCCCAACGAAGTACGTCGGGCTCATTAAGGACATGTACAACAATGTTGTGACTAGTGTTCGAACAAGTGATGGAGACACGGATGACTTCCCGATTAGGATAGGACTACATCAAGGGTCAGCTTTGAGTCCTTATCTGTTTGCCTTAGTGATGGATGAGGTCACAAGGGACATACAAGGGGACATCCCTTGATGTATGCTTTTCGCGGACGATATAGTGCTAGTTGATGAAAGTTGGACAAGAGTGAATCAGAAACTGAAGTTATGATGGGAGACTTGGAGTCCAAAGGTTTTAGACTCAGTAGAACTAAAACTAGGTATATGAGATGTGACTTCGGCACTACTACTCAGGAGGAGAAAGATATTAGTTTGGAAGGTCAAATAGTACCTAGGAATGATATCTTTCGATATTTAGGATCAATGCTACAGAGAGACGGGAATATTGATGAAGATGTTAACCATAAAATCAAAGTAGGGTGGATGAAGTGGCGCCAATCATCTGGTGTCCTATGTGACAAAAGGGTACCACAGAAGCTAAAAGGCAAGTTTTATAGGACGGCGATTAGACCTGCTATGTTGTATGGTGCAGAATGTTGGCTTACGAAAAGGCGACATGTTCAACAGATAAGTATCGCGGAAATGCGTATGTTGCGTTGGATTTACGGTCATACAAGAAGGGATCGAGTTCGGAACGATGATATACGTGATAGATTAGGAGTAGCACCAATTGAAAAAAAACTTGTCTAACACCGGTTGAGATGGTTTGGACATGTCCAACAGAGATCTCCAGAGACACCGGTGCGTAGTGAAATCCTAATCCAGGATAGTAACGTGAAGAGAGGTAGAGAAAGACCGAAATTGACTTAGGTAGAGGCAATTAAAGAAGACTTGAAATGATGGAATATAACCAAAGACTTAGCCTTAGACAGGAGTGCTTGAAAAACAGCTATTCACGTGCATGAACCTTGATTACTTCTGCTGGGTTTCAACTCTAGCCTATACCAACTTGTTTGGGACTTA